ACCTGTGAATCTGACCATATTTGGAAAAAAGGGTCACTGGAGATATAACTAAGTTCAAGATCTTGAGATGAGACCATCCTGGACAATCCAGGTGAACCCTAAATCCAACCACAAATGACAGGTGTCCTTAAAGAGAAAGGCAAGGGGTTTGAGATGCACAGGGGAGAGTCATGTGACGACAGTCAGGACTGGAGTTACTGCCCCAAGTCAATGAATGCCAAGACTGCCAGCAACCCCTAGAGAGAACGTCCCGAGAGGACCCACCTTGCTAACACCTTCATTTCAGACTCCTGACCTCCAGAACCATGAGACAACAAATTTCTATTGTTGTCAACCACCTACCTTCTTACAGCAGCCCTAAGAAATGAATACAACCATCATAGGAATGAGATAGGACATCTCCCAGCGCCACTGAGGAGCAAACAGAGGCTCTGGAAAGCTAAATAATGTAACCAACTTCCCTCGATGCCCTGGGGTGTTGGCTGACAGACCTGCCACTCCTTCCACAATACCAGGTTGCCTTTTTCCTAACACTTGTGAGTCTCAGCTCCTTCATGCGTAGACACGAGGCAAGTGTCAGGACCCAGTCGGAATCCAGTGCTTCAGCACCATTCACTGATGAACTTACTGCAAATATTTCCCACCTCTCAGAGCCAACCAGTCCAGGGGGCCCATTTTATCATTGCCACAATTACTGAAACACAGGGCTTCACACTAATTTTCCCTTACGAGTAAATGGCTGGAAAGTAATGGTGTCGATTTTAATGAGGATCAAGTAAGGCTCCTACAAGGGCTCCCATAAACGAAAGCATTTCCCTCGCACACAACAAGGGCTCGCTGTTTAATTCCAGAACACAAGAATGTCACTTAAATTACACGGCTTTTACATTAAAGTGCTTATGGGAATGCCTTTCCAGCAAAGAACTTCAATAAAAAGATCGCACGTGATGCTTCACAGTATCTGAACCACAGATCTACGTATCATAGCAACAACAGTAAAGCCTCGGAGAACGTGCAAAGGAGCAGGACATCAATTTCACTGGGCAAGAGTTTCTTGAAACAGAGGGGTAGCTTTTAGGAGGCAGGGATGTATTAAATTTGAACCTGCGGGCCACCAGAAAGTTCTTGTTTAAGCCTGAACCCTTTTTGTTTCCACTTGCAGAGATGTTCCGAATGACTGTCTACCAGCCTGTCAGTCTACGTGCGCCTCTGCAGCCAACTCCATTCTTACCGTATGAGCTCTTCTCCTGGTTGACAGCTGAGTGCTCAGCCACTGCACCACCACGGCTCCTTCAGAGCAATTACGAGAGCTTTGAGCAAAGATGAGAGTATTTCACACCTCCATCTTTACTGAAAATGTCTACTACACCACTGACTTTTGGCTTCTATTTATAAAGAAGGTTCAGGGCTTGGAAAATTATGAAGCTGGGCTTTAATGGATATTCCCAACCAGCATTGTGTCATTATTGGCCCACGTTGCACTGGGCGATCTCCCAAATTTGTGACATAATCAGGCTTTTCTCTGCATTACTCCATACACTCCAAGCTCCCTCCACATCACACCACTGATTCATCCACTCTTTTCAACAAGACCGATTGCCAGGGGATTAACGTTAGACAGCACAATTCCATTATTCAGCAGCCCAACTCAAATCCCACCCCTAAACTCGCAGAGAGATTTCAGGGCTTCAAGAGAGCTGCCAGAAAGCTCAAGGGGAGGTGGGTGAGGGGCTATTGAAAGTTTTACATAACAACTCAACCTGAAGCCTGCTGTAAGCAGGGGCTCTGGCTAAAGTGGTCCAGAGATATGACTTGGTGAGTCTTTGGAGTGGCTCCAACCAATCATAATAAATGATCTGAGAAGCCCTAAGCCCAAAGGACTGCTATAGCCTAATTATTTTATTCCTGCTATAAATTATTTAAATCTGAATTCGATATTTAGAACTTTTAGCCAAAATTCTAACTTTCTTTCCTTACATGGAAACACTTTCATGTTAACTTCAGTACACGTGAGGCCCAAAGTAAAATTAAAGTCACATGCTTTTCAATCAACGGATTTATAGTGTATCAATGCCAAAGGTCAGAGAGAGTCATTCAGGCAGAACAAGGGATACTGCATGGTTTCAAATCAGGAAGGGTGTGCATCAAGGCTTATCCTTTCACCATACTTACTCAATCTGGATGCTGAGCAAATAATCCGTGAAGCTGGACTATATGAAGAACAACACGGCATCAGGATTGGAAAAAGACTCATTGACAACCTGTGATATGCAGATGATACAACCTCACTTGCTGAAAGTGAAGATAACTTGAACCACTTATTGATGAAGATCAAAGACTACAGCCTTCAGCATGAATTACACCTCAACATAAAGAAAACAAAAATCCTCCCAACTGGACCCATCAGCAACATCACGATAAACACAGACAAGACTGAAGTCGTCAAGGATTTCATTTTATTTGAATCCACAATCTACACCCAGGAAAACAGCAGTCAAGAAATCAATTGCATTGTGCAAATCTGCTGCAAAAGACCTCTCTGAAAGGTTCCAAAGCAAAGATGTCACCTGAGGACTAAGGTGCACCTGACCATGGCATTTTCAATAGCCTCATATGCATGTGAAAGCTGGACAATGAACAAGGAAGACCAAAGAGGAAGTGATTCATTTGAATTATGGTGCCGGTGAAGAATACTGAAGGTACCATGGGCTGCCAGAAGAAAAACCAAATTTGTTGTGGAAGAAGTGCAGCCAGAATGCTGCCTAGACATGAGGATAAAGAGACTTAGCTTCACTTATTTTCAAAATGTTACCAAGAGAGACCAGTCCGTGGAAAACAGTATCATGCTTGGTAAAACAGAGGGTCGTGGAAAAAGAGGCAGACCCTCGACAAGACGGGTGGACACAATGGCTGCAACAATGTCTCACACAGAGCAACGGCTGTGAGAACGGCACAGGGCCAGGCAGCGCCTCATTCTGTTGTACGTGGGGTCACTGTAACTTGGAACCGACTTGACATCACCTGACAACAGCAACTACGGCAACAGAAACGTTAACCATTCTGTTCCCGATTTGAATGTCACTTCTCTTTATGTTTGTTTTATAAAATATTTATAATAGCAATTTTCACTAAGAAACATACCACAAATATCTCCATGAGAAAACGGGGCTGAAACACTTAGGAATATTCTGTGCAACCAACGTTATACAAAAACTTATCAAATTTCACATCAATGTTCTGAAGAGCAGAAACAAAATGCTCACAAACAGTGGTCCATTTTTAATTGCGTAAATCCCAACTGCCGCTGAGCTGATATTGACTCACAGAGACCCTATAGGACAGAATAGAACTGCCCCCAAGGACTTCCAAGACTGTAATCTTTACAGGAGCAGAATACCACATCCTTCTCCCATGGGGAGCCAGGGGGGATCAAACAACCAACCTTTCAATTAGCAGCTTAGCATTTAACCACTGTGCCACCAGGGCTCCTTTTTCATCGAGTACTGACATAAAAAGGAAGTTAAATCTTTATCATGCTTACTCAGGCAGGGTGGATTGGGGAAATACTTTAACTGAACCTGATAGAAAACAAAATTGGTTTTCTGCTTAATTTTCAGTTAATCTACCATTTCACTTAACCATATATACCCAATCAGGTTAATGAAGCTTTTGGAAGGTTTCTTAATGCCTTTTCAGGTAATCTGAATATCTAGAGGTGGGCCTCCATCTTCAAAGAGTTGATAATTTATTGAGGGAAAAGATCCCCACATGTGAAATAACACTACAGGCCCATGCATATGAAATGATGGGGCAGAGACCTGGCTCACCAACGTAAATAGTCACACGAAGGCAAAAATGAAGCAGGGTGAACTTTGAGTTGAATGCTAAGGAGTCAGCAAACTGCAGAAAGGGCTAAAGTGAATGAATAAGAGCAAAGGCTCAAGGACAGGGGCAAGCTGGGGAGTCATGACACAGGGCTGGAAAAAGGAGAGATGGCTCCTCCTCACTAAAAATCTTCCCCTAATAAGATGGTTGGCAGATAGACACGTCGTAGGCATAGGTCCGTGCATTATTAACCTTCTAACCAGAGAAACGACCTTTCTTCTTCAGTTACACCAAAATGCATCATAATAGGCAAGATTTGGGAAGAAATGTGGGTTTCTAGGCCAACAGACTATGTAGGCTTCAGATTTTAGTTAAAATGGCCAACTTGTCCATGCACCCTGGTAAACAGTTAACTGTAAGCTCATACACAGTTCTCATTTCATGGAGGAAATAACCTCCCAGAGCACACAGTTAACTTGTAGCATCTCAAGGCTTTCTTCTAATGGAGGTGAAGTCCCTTGACATACCTTCTTCTAGCCATTGGGCTCAGGTATCATAACACCTTCTCCTTTACTCTTCAGGCAGCATAAGGAATGCTAGGCTAGTAACCAGAGGTCAGCAGTTCAAACCCACCAGCAGCTCCACAGGAGAAAGATAAGGCAGTCTGCTTTCATAATAAAGATTTACAGCTTAGAAGCCTTATTGGCAGTTCTCCTTCGTCCTATAGGGTCACTATGAGTCGGAATTGACTCAGTGGCAGTGGGTTTGTTACAGGCAGCCCTCTACAGTCGTTTCTCTTCAGGTAATGTTGCCTCTCTTGTAAAAGCACATCACTCCTACAGCAAATCTGCACCCTCTCCCTGCACCTGCTAACATTTTCTGAGTAGGTGATCTCAACTTCCAGAATATCAGCACATTTCATCTCATACCCCTTATATAAGATGACACCTGGGAACCAAGGGACCATGCAAAACACATACAACCTTGCCAATCAAGAAACAAAGCACTGTCAAATGACAGATTCCTTCTCGAATGACAGCCTGTGCTTAGAAAGAATAAAAACGAACCATCCCTCCTTAAATTCTGCAGGAAAACAAGGCTGACGTTCATGACTCCAAATAAGCCAAGCTAGAAAAGGCTGCCTATGGCTGCTACCCAAGAGAAGTGGGACTCACCAACAACATCAAGGTGGTACGTGTGATTGATGGACCCATACTCATTCTCCACCACACAGGTGTAATTTCCTTTGTCCGAAGGGACCACACTCTCCATGATAAGGCTCCAGTGCTGGTTTCGTACCTGCAAAGATCAAAGCAACAGTGGTCATTTAACAACCTCAGCCCAGATGACCAGGTATGCTGCTTTCTTGACTTGAAAGGGAACTCAGAATTGTGACAAATGAAAACAATCATTGTTATCCTGGTGGACCATTATCAAGTAGATGCTGACCATTACCAAGTAGACGTCCAGGAAGGCAAGGGTGTGCAGAGTTTCTCTCTCTCACTGTCATGGATGTGAGGCTCCCTCCAGGAAAGGCCATGTGGCCAGGGGCCTCAGCCTCAGCCTGGGACAGAATCAGTGTCCCAGGTCACTCACTATGGCACCAAACGTCTCTGGGACCATTGAAAACACACACAGTTGCTGTTTGCTGCCACAGAATCAGCCTCTGACTTAATATGGGGGTCTCACTGACAGTGGAACAAAACGCCACCTGGTCTTGAACCATCCCCATGATCAGTTGCAGACTGGACTATTTTGTTTTTTCATTTTCACAAGGTTCCCTCTCCCTCCCCTTCCAACCCTGGTAACCAACAAAGAAAGCTTCCTTCCATGCTTCCTTCCATATGTAAACTTTTCCTTGACTTTTTGCAATAATGAACTAATACAGTATTTGTCCTTCTGTGATTGATTTATTTCACTCAGAAAAATGTCCTCCAAGTTGATCCACATTGTGCAGTGTTTTGTAGATTCTTTAGTGTTGTATAGTGTTCCATTAAGTGTATGTACCATAATTTGCTTATCCATTCTTCTGTTGGTGGGCACCTAGGTTGTTTCCATCTTTTTGCTATTGTAAATAGTGCTGCGATGAACACGGGTGTGCATGTATCTGTTCTTGTCCTGGCTCTCCCTTCCTTAGGATATATACCTAGTAATGGGATTGCTGGATCCAATGGGATTGCTGAATCACTATACTGCTTTCCACAGAGGTTGTATCATTTGACAGTCCTACCAGCAGTGTGTGAGAGTCCCAATCTCTCCACATCCTTGCCAGCATTTGTTATTTTCTGGTGATTAGGACTTATTAGTGCTGGGGCAAGATGGTATCTAATTGTTGTTTTGATTTGCATCTCTCTAATCGCTAATAAGGAGCTCTGGTAGCATAGTGCCTAAGGCATGGGGCAATCTACTTCTGTAGTGATACAGCTTCGGAAACCCAAGGAGGTCCCACTTGACGGCACATAAACAACAAAAAATGGCTAATGATCATGAACATTTCTTCATGTGTTTGTTGGCCACCTGAATATCCTCTTTGGTGAGGTATCTATTCACATCATCTGCCTGTCAGAGATATGTCCCTGAATATTTTTTCCCAATCTGTAGGTTCTCTTTTTACTCTTTGGGAGAAGTTTTTGGAAGCACATACATACATACATACACACACACATACATACATAAAATAAATAAATACAACAAACCAAACTTACTGCCATTGAGTCAGATCTGACTCATAGCAACCCCTCCTTGGGTTTCTGAGGTGGTATCACTACAGAAGCAGATTGCCCCATCTTCCTTCTGAGGGTGGCTGGTGAGTTTGAACTGCCAGCCTTCTGGTTAGCAGTCAAATGCCTTAGAATTTAATTTTTAGAAGGTCCCATTCATCTAATTTATCTTCAGCTGTTTATACATTTTGGGTTATGCTTGACAGCCTATTTATGCCATAAATTAGGGCCCCTAAATTTGCCCCTATTTTTTTCTTGAGGAACTCAATAGTTTTAGGTTTCACATTTAAGTCTTTGATCCATCTGGAGTTAATCTTTGCGTGTGGTGTGAGGTACAGATCTTGTTTCATTTTTCTGAAAATGGATACACAGTTTTGCCAGCACCATTTGTTAAGTAGACCATTCTCTTTTCCATTTAATGAATTTCAACCCTTTGTCAAAATTCAGCTGACCATAGGTTGATGGATCTATTTCTGGGTTCTCAATTCTGTTCCACTGGTCTATGTGTCTGTTGTACCAGTACCAGGCTGTTTTGACTACTGTGGCTGCACAGTAGATTTTGAGATCTGGGAGTGTGAGACTTCCTACTTTGTTGTTCTTCAATAGTGCTTTGCTTATCTGAGGTCTCTTTCCTTTCCATATAAAATTAGTGATTAGCTTTTCCATATTCTTAAAGAATGTTGATGGAATCTGTATTGGGATTGCATTGAATGTATAGATGGCTTTGGGTACTATTGACATTTTCACAAGGTTCAATCTTCCTATCCATGAGCATGGTACATTCTTCCATTTATGTAGATCTCTTATGGTTTCTTAAAGTAGTGATTTGTAGTTTTCTTTGTACCAGTCTTTTGTGTCCCTTAGTGAGATATATTCCCAAGTATTTTATTTTTTGTATTGATTTCCTTATTTCCCTATCAGCAATCTCTTTGCTGGTGTAGAGGAATTCAACTGATTTTAGGATGTTGATCTTGTATTCCACCACTACGCAAATCTCTCATTAGTTTCAGGAGTTGTTTTTTTTTTTTTTTTCCTTTCCCTGAGTCTCTTCAGTTTTCTATGTATAGGATCCTATTACCAGCAAATAGGGAAAGTTTGACTTCTTCCTTACCAATCTGGATGCCTTTGATTTCCCTTTCTTGCCTATTGCCCTGGCTAGGACTTCCAATACAATGTTGAACAGAGGTGGTGACAGAGGGCATCCTTGTCTGGTTCCTGTTTGCAAGGGGAATGGTTTCAGTCTCTCCATTGAGAATACTGTTGGCTCTTGCTTTTGCATGCATGCCCTTTATGATGTTGAGGTATGTCCCTTGTTCCTATTTTGCTGAGGTTGGACTGTTTAAATTGGTAAGATTTCACTGGCTGATTTCTGGAAGTAGTTGCCCTGCCTTTCTTCCGAGTCCCTATTGACCTGGAAGCTCCACTGAAACCTGTTCCAGCATCACAGCAACACGCAAGCCGCCACGGCTGCACCTGAGGCACACTGGCCAGCAATCAAACCCAGGTCTCCTGCTCGGAAGGCAACTTCCACCAGGAACATCAATGGCCCCCAGAACAAACTCCAGTGAGGGCTTGCCGTCTGCCCAGGCTTCCTATGCTGAGCCCTCCTTCCATCTCAGCTAATGGAACCTTCACAAGGAGCCCCCGAGGTAGATGCTACTACTGTTGCTGGAAGCTTTCAGTCTGAAAGTCCTTTATTTCTCACCCCTGGAGCCCCTGGTACTGTCTGGAAGTGTCAAGAAGTCCCAGCTGGGAACACAGGTCTACCCCTTCCACTCCCGGGGGTGACTGAACAGATGCTATGTGTTCCTGAGAGATATTCCCAGAATCCCAAATATGGGAGAAATGAATCCTTGTGAAGCTGAAACTGTATGTCAATCTGTTTACAAACTCCTTGAGACTTTTCAGAGATAAGCAGCATGTGTGAAAATAACTGACTGTGATTCCTTCTCACAGCTGGTCAACACGCAAACAGACTAACTTCGAATGTTTCCACCTTGCTTTCAAAGTATTTCAGCAGGCACGACTTTTCCAGCAAGCAGGATTTTGCCTTACAGGGCAAAATGCAAGTTTCACCTTGAGGGTTCCAGGCTTCAGTGTTTGTATCCAAATTCAAGTCATACTTTGAAGGTATTCTGGACAAGGCACGCCTCAGAAATTGGAAGAAAAAAATTTCAAGCAGCCAGGGCCCACTCCTCTGAACCATCATTTCAGAAGTTTCGACTGACCATCTGAATGATGGCCTAAACACGACAAGTGTTTTCTGCCTTAATCACATAAAAACCGATAATACGCACAGAGCCTCAGCAAGCACACAAGTGATTCAAGGGCCTCAAGTACAGAATAAAGATGATCATGTTGGGAATGCCCCGTCACAAAAGCAGGACAGCTGCTCCCTCCACAACGGCAAGCAGTGTCAGTGATGACCCTGCGAGTGAGCAGAGTAAGAGGTCAGCAGGCATGTGGCAGGGTCGTTCAGGTCTACACATGCCATAACTGCACAGCAGAGTTACTGAAGCTACGTTCAAAGCCAAGATCACGGCTCATCACTGGCACAGTCAGGAAGGATCACTGGGCCAGAGATGGGCTCTTCCCATGAAGGTGCGAATACAGAGCTAGACTGAGTTTGGGACAGTCATCTGGAACTGGAGGCTAGCGTCATGGGGCTGGCGATGGGAAACTGATTCTCATTGTTACAGGTGAAATGTTTGGCAGTAAAATGAATCTGTCAGCATCTGCTCCACAGAGTCTGCTTTCAACATCTGCAAAGACTCTCTATTCTCAGCTTGCCCATGGACTTGGAGAAGACACCAGCCGAGCAGCTAGGTGTCTTCAGGGGTCTCTGGGTGGTACAAACAGTTTGTACTTGACCAGTAACCTACAGCTCAAGGTTGGTGGTTCGAACCCTCCCAGTGGTTCTACAAAAGACAGGCCTGGTGATCTGCTGCCTTAAAGATTACCTTATGGAGTTCCACTCTGTAACATATGGGGTTGCCATGAGTTAGCAGTGACTCACCCAGAACAAGTCAGGTTGTTGGTTTAGGTGTCCTTATAGGAGACATAGCACCTGCCATGCCCAAAGAACAAGAGGGGTTTTCTGAGGAAATCTAGATGCTAAGTTTTCCAGTACAGTGAGAATGTTCTATCTAAACCCTGGCCCCCTACATGCCAAGAACCCAGAAGAGGAAGATGCTGGCTCCTTGATTTAACTCGAGGCAGATGGGCCCACGAGGAGACCCTGTCCCCACCCAGAGCTCTCAGGAGAATCAAAAATGGGGCACAGGGCCAGGATTCCTGTTCTCCACATGGGACTCTCCTGGCCTCTGAGGAACCAGTCACGTGCAGGGTGACTTAGGGATGAAGCCACAGGCCCCAACGCCCTCAAGTCATATAATCCAGTATTTAGCCCTGCTGTAAATATTCAGTTCTTTGAGCCCTCGCTCAAATGTCATGCCCATAAGCCCTTAATCATGGCTAGTGCCTGACTCTGGACCCCATCCAAACTGTCAATGTCTTTTTTGCGCCTGGACCCAGATTTGGCACACGGCATGTTCTCCAAATGGGAGTTGAACCTGACTG